GAAATATGGGTTAAATTGAGCATACCTTACAGCACCTGGCCATGCCTTATTTCAATTACGACTAAAGTGATTACTATAATTTCTAGTAAGAGTGCTACTACCCTTTCTATTTAAATGTAGGCCACCTCTATTTAGGCAAGTATAATCTAAATTAGTGTTGTCTATATAGGTCCATTTGTTTTGGTTAGAGACCCGTTTAAGAATGTCATTTACAGTTTTAATTTTGTTCTGGATATTAGCTTTATCTTTCCTGGTAATAATGCCCGATATACATACGTTAGTGCATGGTAGACTATCCTTTATTTGGGTTCCGAGGTTTAAGATACCCGCAGCAACTACTTCTGTCGTCTTGGAGTTATCTTTAATATTGTTAGTGCCTACATGCAATATTATCTCGTCGGGCTTTTTGCGTAGTAATGGTTTTATGTAATCTTGCATATCTTCAGCTTTACTCCCTGAAAAGGACTTTACAGATACACGTTGTTTATCGTTAGACAAGTCCCAGCCGTGAACATGTTGTAGAATTGAGTCCCCGGCGATGAAAACAAGTTTGCCAGACTTATTATTCTTTGAGCCTGTTTGAAATAAATCGTTTGAATTTGCATTTGTTGTATGCTTTCTATTGTTGGTTTTGGCCTTGCCCTTGGAAAATTCAATAGAAGTTTGGGTTGATTGACTTTCTTTTCTCCTTTGTTTTCTATCGTGTGTGTTCGAATCCATGTTTAAATTGCTTGACCTACTTTGTCTAATAGTCAAAGTGCTAGACTCACTCGGGTCAATTTCGTCATTAGATTCTGATTCTTTATCTGAGTCATGTTACGTGGACAGGAGACCGAATCTATTTGGCGTTATTATGTCCGGTTCTTGAGCATTCATATCAGCTGCAGATCGAGCAGTTTTATTTTGGCATGCATAATTAGCTGAAATGTTATGTACATTAGTTCTCGCTCTATGCCCTGGGGTGTGCCATGTATTGTGGGTTGCATCTCTGTTATTTAATGATATAGATTTGCTGTCTTCTTGCAGCAGCTTAAGGGCAGTGACTAGGCTCAATTTCTCATCTTCAATGTTTTTGATTTTCGTATTTAGATCCGATACCATATAAGAACGATTGTTAAACTTTTCTTTCAAGGAGTCGTTTTCGCGCCTGAGTTGCGTGTTTTCATGTCTAAGGGTAGCGTTTTCATGTTCTAGGCTTGTTAGACAATATTCAGTTACTTTAGTGCCACCATTCAAACTCAGTTCTCTTAGCTGATCAAGCTGTTCGGCAAAGTTCTCCTTTATTTGTTGAAGCTCTGCTTTCGTTTCGACAATATGTTGGTTTAGTTTTAATTTAATCTCGCTTACCTTAGTAGGGAGTTCGTTACAGACTACCTGAGCGGTTGTTTCACATTCGACAGTTGTTATATCGCCACCGTCGTCCTCCGTGTCATTTTGAGCTAAGGCGATGCTGTTGTGTTCTCTCACACCTTCTTCCTTCAGATTTGAAATTACTCGTTCAGTCAGGTCTTTGCCCTTTTCTCCTTCAAAGGATATATTCATACTTTTGGTTCGCCATGTAACAGCCAGTAACTCACTTTCAAATTTCCAAGTTCCGCCGCTAGGAGATCGCCAGTTTGTGTTTTCTGCTGTATCTTCATCAATCTCCGTTAACACGAATGCTTTCAAGTCTTCTAGCGCTCCTAACCATTTCAGTTTGTTCTTCGCTAAGCAAAAGTTACGGTACAAAATATTCTTAACAGATGTCATTATTGGAGCGAAAAAGCACACGTCCGTACACGTCGACTAACACACAAAATCCTAATCTTTATGTAGTAGTAGTAGTAGTAGTAGTAGTAGTAGTAAAACTTTATTTAACCACGCTTCCCTCATCACCCATGGATGATTTTCATGAGGGGCGTCACACAAATTACATTCTAAAAACTAATATAAATTAAATATGAAATAGAATAACATAGAATAACAAATACGTAGATAAAAAAGTTAAAAAACCAAGACTATTCGATGCCTGACTCTGTAGCACACATTATTTTATCAAATTTTTGAAGCTACTTAAAGATTCTGTTTGCTTTGCCTGCGTACATAGGCGTACCGGGCGGGGGGGCGGGTTTTTTGGGCAGTCGGGCAATATTCGATCAACAGTCGGGCAATTTTGGCTTGCAATAAAAAAAAATGTGACAAATTCTGTAAATTTTGTCTAAAATTAAGTAGATTTCTTGGCAAATTTTGAGATTTTTCCAAAATTTTGTGTATGTTCCGAAAAATATTGGTTGTCCGGAAAAGTTTTTTGACCGCCAAAAAAATTTTTCCGGAAAATTTTTTGGTATTAGTCGGGCAAAATCCCGAAAAGTCGGGCAATTTTCTTTCCGCCCCCCTAATTTTTTCCTTCCGGTACGCCCATGCTGGCAGTTTATGTTGAGCCGTACCTTACACCGTGCACATCCTTTGTTTTAGGTTTATTAATATATAAATATCATGGTTGAATGACTGAACTGAAACGTTGCTATTGGTTGATTCATTCATTATACTGAAATACAATGTATTCATTGACCGTGCACCGTGCACAAAACTGCATAAATGCGAACAAAAAGATAGAACAAAGACTTTAGCGGAGTTTCCAAACCATGTTTTGAAAGACTATTCTGAAACGGACCACGTACTTAGCTGTTTACGAATACACAAACATATACACAACATACCATATGTGACACACACACACACATATAAAAATATATATATATATACACCCATTGACGATGACATTGATGTTGGAGTATATAGCTAGCTACATGTTGACGACTCCGTTGTTGAAGAAAGCGGTCGGTTTTGTAATCGGTTGTATCTGGTGACATCAGAAGAATCAGAATCGGAGTGGTCATCTTTGTTGCCAGGTTGTAAGCATTGATGGAACGTAATCTGGAAATAACGAAGAGACTTTTACTAAATTTACCATTTTCGTTCATTTACTTTGACTTGAAGACGGACATAGCTAATTTGCTTTACTTTATTAGTTCACGATATATTTTGTACGCCTTTTTTATGTCGTGTACTCAGGTAAATATGTTTGTGATGCTACCCTGAGTATATATCCACATCGGGCAGGCTGAAAAGTTTGCCTGACCACGGTAGGAATCGAACCCGCGACCTTTGCATGGGATACTAGTCCAATGTTCTGCTAACTGAACTACAAGGAGGGTCCTGAAGGGGTAAAATGGGAACTGGGATTTGCTTATTTTTGGGTGGGAAAATGGGATTTCATGCACTGGGACTGGGATTCATCAGCAAAAAAACAATAGAAAATGGGAATGGGATTAAGACTTGAGCAGGACAGCCACTGAGATGATGGGATTTGTGCGCTGAGACAATGGGATTTAGTCAAAATTTGGGCTGGGAAATGGGAATACGAAAACCCACACCACACCCCCTTTTAGGACCCTCTACAAGGTCAAGTCGGTTCGAGTGTGTGGTATTTCTGAACTAATTCTAGCACCTTCAATACCAATGCGTTCTTATGATTAGGGTATCGAAGGTACTAGAATTAGTTCCGAAATATCTCATACTCGAACCAACTTGATTTCATAGCTCAGTTGGCAGAGCATTGGCCTAGTATCGCGGGTTAGATTCCTACCGTGGTCAGGCAAACGTTTCAGCCTGCCCGGTGTGGATATACACTCAGAGTCAGCCTAGACTAGGCCTTTACTTGAACTGGAACAAACTCATAATCTCATTACGAATCTGCGAGAGGAAAACAACGCATACATACCTTTCCTCATCCAGTTGGGTAGGATGGCACAACTGTCCATTTAAAGTTAGATGGACTTGAAAAATAAAACAGAAAACAACATTAAAATTATGCCCCATAGAAACGCGCAACAACAAAAGGATAATTTATTATTTTATTTCTTACATAAGAAGGATTTCAATACAACAGTTTAAGTTCTAATGAACTCAGAAAAATCGTTTAACTTTAGGAAATGAATTCTTCAATAAAAAGGAAGTACTGAAAAATAAGTGCACAACACAATGCCATCAATTATTACCTGATGTGACTTCATACCATCATTTGCCATTAATTCAATGTTTTCACTAATAACACTGAGAAGCCATTTCAGGCAACACAATTCATCACATCCATTTGTTGAAGGCCACGCATTGATCACAGAAGAGAACACTTGAAATCTAAGTTTCCTGGCACAAATGCATGTACAGTCTTGTCATGCAAATCTTCTTTCTGATATTGAAATAAGTTTTTCAGTTCACCAACTGGAAAAGCGTATTCATGCTTCGGTCAAAATCGGTTTTACCATTGTCGCCTTTATTTTGCTTGTTTTTACAATATTTTAAAGCTGTTGTTTGTTTCACCTTACAACCATTTACTATTTCTGGTGAAGACGATAATAACATAAAGACGATAATAAATAAAGAAGACGATAATAACATTGACTTTTTGTTTTCGATAGGGCAAAATTTAAAGAAATACTTGTTAATTTTGGATTAGAGTGAAATGAAGCAACGTCTTGTAGTCTTTTTAATTTTAAACAAAGTTATACTTTGCAAAGAAAACGTGTGTTACTTCTTGTTTTTAATCAATTTTAGTATATTTGCCAAAAATATTACTTGTTTCCATGGTGACAGCGAGACATGAGCTGGCAACAGAGCCAAGCAACATGCATAGTTTAAACACCCTTGTTTTTTACTTCCGTGTGAAAATTAATCAGGTATGAAAAGTAATCCGGTATAGTTTAATTGCAGCCTACATCTCCCCTTTACTTTAAAACCTGCTAATATAAATATCCTGCAAATGTCAGTGTTCCTTCAAGCATTCATGAGCACAGAATAAGGACCTATACAGAAGTCCCACTCTCGTGTGCGACATGGCACTTTTTTCCACTGCGCATGCGTTAGGTCCGCCATCTTCCTAGCAAGTAAAACCGCAGCAAGCTAATAGTAAATGGCTGATCGCATTATTAATCCGCACCCCCCCCCCCTATTGAGG